TCTCATCTCTGGACACATTAATTTCTGGCATTTTTTTGCGTTTCAATTCATATTCATTAAAATACAAAATCACTTTTTTCTTTTTTTTCACTTGCTGCCCATAGAGGATGTCTTTATTCACTTTAGAAGCTTTTTTTTTTTTTTTTGTAAGAAGTAAAATGTTTTTTATCCATTCATAACTTTCTTTCCTCGTTTCCATTTATAGGTACACAATAAAATTGTCTCCTGACAAATTTAACATGCAAATGTTTTAACCTTTGTGAAATGCCTCTTTTTTGTAGAGTAACTGCTGCATTTAACAAATTTGATTTAACAAATTTGGGGTTGACTATATTTATACTTGCTGCCTTTTATTTTTTCCCTGTTTATCTGCCAGTATTAGGGTTTAATATCATCCTGTACATCATTTGAGCTGAGGAATGGTCTTTAGACCTTGCCCTTAGAGGTTATGGACTTGTTCTGGCTGTTTCATTGTTTCCCTCAATTCATGATATGGATGTTTTCTCAATCTTCCAATTCAGAGAATGGTGTTAGGAAATAAAAAATAATAATGCACTGACAACTTCAAAAATCTGAAACCACTTCCAACCTAGTATTCATTTTGTGGATTTACAAAAATTTTTTGAGAAAAGAGAAATTCAAAAGTCAATAGCAAAAACAGAAGTTGCTCTTCAGATGTGATACAGAAACTGCTTTGGCCTTTTCTACATCACTGTTAGACAGACACTGCCAAAAGTGTGTTTCCTTCAGTCAGTGCTAACTTCATCCCCAGCCACTGCCAGCAAGCAGACTGGCAGGTGTGCAGGGGGGGACAGCAGGTGTGTGCAGAGGGGGCTGTCAGGTGTGTGCAGAGGGAGCTGTCAGGTGTGTGCAGAGGGGGCTGTCAGGTGTGTGCAGAGGGGGCTGTCAGGTGTGTGCAGAGGGAGCTGTCAGGTGTGTGCAGAGGGGGCTGTCAGGTGTGTGCAGGGGGGGTGACAGGTGTGTGCAGGGGGAGCTGTGTTGGCTGTAGCCTGTCCTCTCTACTATTATGTCAGACTTCTCAATGTACCCTGTGGCTTGGTCAAGTTAGGAACCATCTGAGTAAGACCTCTGATAAACACAGGTTGAGTTTACAAACTCAACAACAGGTGGTTTTGTTCCCAGTATGGACAGTATCCCTTTTTGAAGCTTCTTTGCTAACACCATTATTAAATAAGTTACTTTCATGAGAGAATAATCCTGCTAAATACTTCTTTCTCCTCTGCTTTACCGTTTTCTCTGTGACATAAACCACTGCTCTCATTAAAATCAGCTTTCTGTGATGTACATTGTGTATTGGATACTTGAGGTGTGATTGCAATTCCCTCTGAGTGGCAGCTCACAGTGACACTGAAGTTATTGTCTGTGTCTCCATTAATTTCAGGGACAGAGTGGGTGGATCCAGAAGACCCAACAGTCATTGCAGAGACAGAGCTCTTAGGGGCTGCAGCATCAATTGAGGCTGCAGCCAAGAAGTTAGAGCAGCTGAAACCACGAGCCAAGCCCAAGGTGAGTGTCCATCCCCATTGTTTGTTGGAGGTTTAGAAGGCAGAGGATGCACACTGCCCATGCTTTGGTGTGTGCTTTGCTGCTGGCCACAATAATGGTGTAAACAATCAAACCTTGCATGAGTCTCAGTGCCCAAAACGCTGCTCTGGATGGCACTCACCCCTGAGGGTAGAGGGTAAAAAGGTGCTTTTCAGTCAAGCACCAGCCATAAGCAAGCAAAGGAAGAGAAGCCAAATGTTAGAAATGGTTGTAAGAGTTATGGCATCATTACTGTTGATTATTTACCTTTCTGTTTCCAAACATATTTTACTGGTGTGTAGTCATTCTTTCTCACTTTCTTTTGGAGACCCTTTGTTCACATCTGAATTTGTATAGTACAGCAGGGGAAAGCAGCAGTTAACATAGTTGGAATTCAAGAGAATATGAATAAACTGCAGGATTTTTTAAGGCTAAAACCAGCATTTTATGCCATGTTTAGAGAGCAGCTGTTTCAGTATAGAATCAGATATGTTGTATGATCATTTCTATGTCATTTTCCTGAAGGAAATTAAGCTGCAGTTCATTATGATATAAAGTAGTGTTGCATGTTGCCAGGTCATTTCAATTGTGTCTCTGAAGAGATTATAAAATTAAGCCAACTATTTTCATGTGCAGCAGAGAGGGAATATATAAAACTGGGTGATCCCAGAGAATTGCTACCTTTTGTCTGGTGTTAACAGGAAGGTTTTAGTAGAAATTACTATGTTGCATCTCTTTGAAATAAAATACATGTTTTGGCTTTGTCATTGACTTCAGGAAAGGACTATGTATCTATTTTCCTCTTTATGCTGCTTTGTAGGTGCAAAACTGTTTTCAAAGTAAAGCTAATGACAAGTCTTTCTAAAAAACAAATCCTCCACACCATTCATTCAGTGTTGGACGATTGTATGGGTGCAGGGTAGTATTTTGTTATTTAGGAGCATCAGATGTAATAGCTCTTGGAACCTTCTGTCTTTGAGGACCTCCCTCCCCCCTCCCTTCTTAGTGATAGGAATAAATTAGCTCATGAAAAAGAAATGCTCTTTGTCTGCATTTTTTAACAAGTACATCCATTTTGTTTAAAAAGAAAAATGGTCCTTGATAATGAGATTCCACAGGCTGAGTCTGAGGAGTGGAAAAGTCCTCCATCACCTTTTCTATACAATCACTGCACAATAGCACATGTGTTGCTTGGTAACCGTGGAGCAGTTTCCTTCCAACATCTAAGCCCCTCCAGGGTCCTTGTAATTTCCCAGGGAATCCAGTTCTCACACCTGCTCATCATTTAACATGTTAATCTGAGTATCCAGTCTGCTTGGGACTTATTGGTTTGTCATTTTCTTAAACTAAAAATCATATCCAACTGTTTGTTTGATTTGAGATTTCAGCAGCCTTTGCATCCTTTTCAGGTGTTTAATCTCTTTCACAATAGGTATTATAATCCACATCCAAGGATTTGGATCCAATTTTCTTTTTCTGCTGCAGACTTGTAGCTTGTATCCTCCCAGAGTAGGATTTCCTGTGGTGAACAGGCTGTGTCTTTCTAATGCCCATCTTTGACAACATACAGAGTGTATAGAGAGCTGTAGCAGGAAATCTTAACTAGCTAAGGGTTGCTTTTGTCTTGTGCTCAGTCTGTGAAATGCAGGAATAGAAGTTACTTTTTACAATGGAACAACGATCTAGACAATATCCTGCTTTGGTTAACAGCAATCATCATCAAGTGAACTCACAGAGAAGTTCTCAGCTGGTAATTTTAGAATGTCTACCTGCAGGAAATCTATCATCTTCATCATTACTAGTTGGTGGCTGATTCTCTATTTTTTGGTCGAATTTTTTTTATTGGTGCAGGGAGTGGGAGTAATTTGATTTAAGCTTGAAATTTTGATCTTTGTGTTCCAGTTTGTCTTTTACTTCTAAAACAAACCCCAGTAGTTGAAGGTAGGGTTTCTTCTCATTTGTTCCACCATCTTAATTTTTTTTAACTTTTGGAATTTTTTCATTTCTTCTTTTCCTTGTTTCCTCTTCATATTTTTGCACCTATCATATCCCCCTTGATGCCTTAAATTGACACAAATAGCATGAGACATCTTCATTTTCTGCTGCTGGGAATCATCCCAGAGAGCAATTTCTAATGAGACACAGTCCTGCTAACTGCTGCCTGTGCTTTATTGTACAATGCTTATTTTGTTTACTTTAAATCCTGGTTGTTTGGCTGCAGGTGAATGTGCTCCCAAAAATGCTTAGTCCACTAGTCCACAGCCCCACTGACACTCTGTAAATATCTGTATGCCTTCTGAGCTCCTATCTTGGAAGAACTTGGAGGACTCTCTTAAGCAGGTGTTGTTACTACCCTCTGTAACACAAAACCTGTTCAGTATTCTCCTTGCAGTGGTCAGGGTGGGAAATTATCTGAGAAGTAATGAGATCTTTACAGTTTTTTAAGCAGGATTTGGCTGGCATGTTTCCCTTAAGTACAATTACTTTTCCTGAATGTGGACTCTTACTCTTTTCAATGTTCCATTTGGAGAGTCAGGTGTATTGCAATGCAGACACACATTCCTTCTGTTATGCGAATACGCTGTAAAATAACAACCCCCAAAGTTAGTAATTTCCTGAAGAAGAAAACTATTTTGTCTAATAAAACCTTCATGCTAATACTGGGCAAAAAACACGAGTAAGAAGGTGTGGTAGATGAGGTACAAGAGGAGAGGGCATTGCTGTCCCTACCCTGTTCTGTCTGCTCTCCATGGTTCTGTGCAGGTCTGTGCCTCCACACACGGGTGTCTCGTAGTCAGTAAGAGTTCCCTGCTGGTAGCTTTCAGCAGTTGGTCCTTTGGTTTTTTTTTAACTCAAGATGAATCAAACCTGGATTCCTTTTTCTGCAGGACTCTGTGTGATATGTTTGATATATTAGGTTGTTATTTAATCCAACTATATATCAAACATATTCCTACAGTGTCCTGCCCTGTCTCCGGGGGTTTTAACATAGTAGAAGGCAATATGAAGGAACACAATCACTCACAAGCAGGTTTAGAAGACTTCCTGTATATTCCTAATCTAATCTGGTATAAAATACATACCTGGATGGCTTCTTTATCAGTAGCTGCTCTTGGACAGACTTCTAAATTGTGTAGGGCTCTTTGAGACAGTGAGCAGCAGCTGTGCCAAGAACTGACTTTCACTGAAATGATTATGGAGCTTTCTATGGCTAGTGCAGTAACTTTCTTGTATTGGTTTGCTCATTGTAAAGTAGAAGATGAGAGGTTCTTGAAAATAAAACAATTTGTCTTTTGTAATTTTGCTACTGTAGGACTGAGTGCTGCTTGATGGGTCATTTTGTAATTACTTATCATTATCCTTTAGTATTTTATAATTGACTATTTCATCAAACTCCATGAACAGTAACAGGAGAACTAAACCTGACTTAAATTTAAATGGGTGTGCTTAGACTTGCAAATGAAGTGCCCAGTTTTTTAACTCACCACCCACCTGGCTGGTGTTTCTAAAGTTACTTGTGTGACACAAGAATGTTGCAGTTGCCATAGTTAGAACAAACTTGTATTTCAAAAGCCTTATGTCTCACACAGTAGGATGTCCTGATACTGTAGCCACTAGCCCTACTTGTCACAGGGCCTTGAATTCCAGTAAGCTTGTGACTGGATCACAAACAAAATACATTCTGATGGATTATTTTATATAAGAAGCTATTAGAATGCATGACCCAGGCCTGGTTCAGTTTAAAATAACAATAACTGATCATCTCCATCTATTTTGCTAACTGTTCAAAAGCTAGTAAGGATGCTTTGATGGACAAATGTTTTCAGTATTTAAATTATTTGAAAGCCAATTTTGTATAGAACAATATATTTGCATTTTAAGTAGTAAGAAACCTTATTTAGAGGTTCTGCACATGTTTGTTGAAAGACATATTTGGATGACTGAAGTATTCAGACAGACTTGTGGAACTTCCTATATCCAAGATCAGTAAACTGGACTGCTGCACAAAGCTGCTCTCTGTGCAATGACAGCTCCTACTGAAAGCTGTTCAATCTATGCTCTTGCTTGGTATCTACTTTACATTCCCTAGTGCAGGTCCATGAGACAACACACATTTACCATTGTTCTTTTTCAATGCCTTAAGTCTTCAAATATTTAGAAAATGCTTTCCCTGCTTTCACCATCTTGGAAGCCCTCATTATGGCACTACAGAGATCATCTTGATAGGAAAAACAAGAATTTCTTTTCAGCCCTGCCCTTTTCTGAATGTAGTTTAGAGTAGCTCTAGAGGAGGTAATGCATTAGAAAGTTGATGGCTTTGTTTAAGTATCCTGTGTGATACTCTGTTTCAGTGTGAGCAGGTACAAGGGCAAGCTAATACTTAATGTCGACTCCCAGCTTTGCAGAAAATTGTGTTCTAGGTCTTACTGACTTTACTGATGTGTCCTAGAATCTTCTTGTCTTTTTATATGTCCTCAGTCTTGAAAGTATAATTGCTTTCAGGTGAATGTGTAACGTTGTTTTTTCTTGGTTATAGCAAGCAGATGAGACTCTGGATTTTGAAGAACAGATCCTGGAAGCAGCTAAATCCATTGCAGCTGCTACCAGTGCCCTTGTGAAGTCAGCTTCAGCAGCCCAGAGGGAACTGGTGGCTCAGGGAAAGGTGGGTAAACAGGACCTGTAGCAACAGTAGTGGGGGAAAGCATCAAAATTGAATCTAGTCTCCTAACAGCTCTGTTAAAATAGTAGGAAAGAAGCTTGGGAATGACTAATGAAAATGTCATTTTCACTGCTCATCACAGTGCATGGCCCAGACATGGTTCTGTTTAAAAAATCCCACAGTTATGTTTATTTAAACCTCACAAGTGTAATCGAGTGCTTGGCTCTTCAGATGATTCAGTTGTGGGGAGTTTAACTGTGGAGGTTTTTCACTTCATGCAGATTTGTGATTCAAGCTAGTAATGTATTGTCCCACACAACAGTTTGTCCAAACCCAAATATCACCATGTACAATACTGTTCTGGACCAGAACAGCAAAAGGCCTCAGTAATTGCACCCTCAATGCCTTGTGATTCAATGGGGACACAGACCTGCATGTAAATTTGGTACATTTAAGTGGCCCTGCTTGTAGTTATTGTTGGAACCAATGAAAGGAGTATTCACAACACGTGGCATCCTTTTGGTGTGATCAGAATTGAGATTTTATAAATAATTTCGTATCCATCACTATTTTTCACAGTTAGTATACTCTGAAACATAAAATCTAAACATCCACCAGATATGTTGCCTGTGAAAGCAATTTATTGTAGGACCATTGTTGTTGTATAGTTATGATTTCCATTTTCACCTGATTCTTAACTCAGAGCAGGCTGTATCATGGATCCCACAATCAGACTATGCTGTCTGCTTTAGCCTGGAATTTGGGAAGCTTGTGCTTTTGGTTCTAACAGGACCAACGAGCACTTCATCTCTGCTCTCCTTAAAAATACCTGCTATGGGGATGATGAGACAAGAAAACCTTGAAACCTAAATACTTTACGGACCTAATGGGGATTTTATGTGTAATTGATTCTAGTTTTTTAGTTACATGAAAGTGTCACCATAGCCATGAGAGAACATATCTTCTGTTTATGTTGATGCTGCACTTAATGATTTTATTTCATTCCCTGAATTCTCATCATGCATGAATACTTGTATCCATTTCTTTTAAAACACAAGTTTCTGGACCATGTTTACCTTTTACATCTTTCAGCTTCTCTCCCCAAGCCACCCAGACCCAGGCAGCTGGGGGTGTGGATCTGGCAACCAACTATAGGGTTCAGTTTTATTGCTTTCATCTAACATGGGAAGAAAACTGTCTCCAAATTGTTGCTGGTACTGCCAATGCCATGAACACTAAAGTAGAAAAGCCATGCAGAAAAGTGGCCTGCTCTCCTAAAGTGCCATTTTTAGGCATGAAGGCACTTAGGGGGCTTCCCTGTGAGGCTTTCTGATCTGTACCTTCCCACAGTGCTCGAATCAGAAGAGATCAAAGAATAATGTAAATTCAAATGTATTATGGAGACAGAAGTAAGTTATTTTAAAGCTTGGGATTTAAAGAACTGCTGCTTCAGCTGTGGCTTCAACCACCAGTAGCCTGCTAATTGCTGGTTATTCGGGTAATTACTTCTGTGTATTCCAAGAATGGGTCAGCTGAAGCAGTGTACAGTAAGTTGGACACTTGGTGAGCAGGCAGATGTGTGCTGGAAGCACAGTTACTCTGACAACTGACTTCCAGTTGGATTTTCTGCTCTTTGAATGTGCTGGGCACAGTCACAGGTACAAGTGTTTCCTTTTTTCTTGGATTACTGCTTGTCTAATTCTGACACAATTGTATTTTCTGTTTTCTTGTAAGCCATCTCTGAAATGTTTTTTCAGGTTGGAGCAATCCCTGCAAATGCAGCTGATGATGGACAATGGTCTCAGGGACTTATTTCTGCTGTGAGTAACTACTTCTCTTGAGAAAACTGGCACCTTCTCTGAAGAAACAATATCCTGTGAGAATACACAGTCACTTTTTTTTTTTTTTACTGCCTTCTAGGCCCGAATGGTGGCAGCTGCAACCAGCAATCTCTGTGAAGCAGCAAATGCCTCAGTTCAAGGCCATGCTAGTGAGGAGAAACTCATCTCATCTGCCAAACAAGTTGCAGCTTCTACAGCACAGTTGCTTGTGGCTTGCAAAGTGAAGGCTGATCATGACTCTGAGGCCATGAGGAGGCTACAGGTACTTGTGGTGTTAATTACTGGAAAGCCATGGTAGGGCAATGTAAACACTGTTTCTGCACTCCAATATTGTGCATGTGTTCAGCCAAGTACTTCTCTAAGTGCTAGCCTTTGGTCAGTCTTCCTTTGCTTCTAGGAGTCAAGAGACAGCAGCTGTAGATAGAGCATTTCTAGAATGGAGAATCATTGTTAGACAAAAATAAGAAGGGAATCTGATGCAACAGCTCCACTGAAGTCTGAGTGAGCTTTTTTACATGAAACTGGTTCCCTTTTATGTTACACATCCATTTCCTGTTGAGCTTCTCTGAACTGCTGCTGAACTAACACTGTTTGGATGGGTAAAATTTAACATCTCTGTAAGTTTAGCTTGAGGATGGTAATTTTTAACATGACTACAGCCTTCTCTGACCTCATGCCCTACAGACTCAGTCTGGAATGTAAGAACTATTTCAGCTGGTTTTTTATACCACCTTTGAACAGTGAAAATTCCCCTTTTTCATGTACTTGCACAGCTGCTACAAATGGACAGTCAGTGCAACAGTTCACTGATGGCTAGGTAGAATCAAATTCAACAGAAATACATATGACTAAGTATCTGTCTGAGCATGAGGAACTGAGGTCATCATTTTTTTCCAAGTAGAAAAATAGTTTAAATATTTGGGGGGAAAAAAAGCTTAACATGTGAAAAATCTGTTTCTACAGAAAACAGTGGCATGTCGTGGGGCAGTTATAGGGCTGAGATGTTTTTAGTGCTTTAGAGGGGTCCATGTAGATTGGCATTGCCAAAGGGGTGTGGGGAAGGTGTCAGTAACTGGAAGGTGGTTCTGTCCTAGTGCAATTTGCTCTGTAATAAATAAATAGTGCAATTTGCTCTATAATAAATGAATAGTGCAGTTTGCTCTATAATATCTAGGTGCCAAGATGGGTCCGAAGAGGAAAAAAAATCAACTACTGGAGACTTTTCTCAGCTCTGACAGGAAATTTGGGATTCTCAGTCATTGTAGGCAAATGTTACTAAATAGACATCAAATGTGAGAAATTGGAAGGGAATGTGAAAAGGAAACAAGCCCAAGCATGGACTGAAATTGAACTTTGCCATTTTACCAAGCTTCATTTTAGCCCCAGAATGAATAATGAAAGGAAGAGCAGTTTGCACTTGGAAATCATGTCCTTTATCATAGCAAAAAATGTGAATTGATGTCTACTAAATATTTTTGTGGTAGACTTGCCAAAACTGAGACTTTTCAGCTGGCTTTGCCCCCAGCAGAAATGTTTTCACATAGCTTTTATCAATAGGTTGGATTCAGGACTTTGAGTGCCTTGTTTTTTTCCTTCATACCCCAATTTGAACTGTGTTTCCCATGAATGTAAATTTGGAATGCACTGTTACAGAATCTTCCAAAACTTCATGAAACAACTGGAAATGTTTTCATTCTTTCTGGATGAGCTCCAGACTGAGCAGAGCAAATTTCAAATAATTTATCCTCAAGACATTTCAGTGAGGAAGACCTGAAAGTGAGATGCAGCTGGAAATGTGGGATGGGGCAGGGGAAAGGTGGGGGGACAGGTTCAGAGCTGGTCCTTCCTGGGAAGGATGGAAGGTTGGACCTGTGGCTTCCCTTCCTAGTGCCACTGTGTCTCTAGCATGTGGAGCAGGCTGTTTTGGCCTGCTGGCAGCATCCAGTTCAGACAATAAAAGACATATTACAGATGTTTGACTGCTTCTCTTTAGAAATCTGAGAAATTTTAGGAAATGAAAGTTTAAATGTGAGGTAACTATGGCTGTGTAAGTTGCTAACTGATTAACACTGATTAAAGTCAATTAATTTAAAAGCTTGATTTAAAAACTTGATGATAATATCTTTATACATTAGCTTTTAGTTTCTGTTCTTCTTTCTCAAAAAAAAACAGAAGTCTGATCAGCATAATATAACTTGTAATCTATCTACTGCTATATTTCAAGCTGTAAGAAGAAAAAACTCATTTGTGACTTCTCCAACTTTCAGCTTCTTAAACAAAGGAATTTTGTTCTCTCTGTACCACTGATTTTCAAAGATTAATTTGCTTTTCACTGGAGAAAAAAGCCCCATACCTTTCCTGTGCAGTCAAACAAAGATGTTTGTTTTGATGTTCAGACAAATCCATGTTAGTGATGTAATTTCCTTATTACTAAATCTCTTCTTTCTCAAAGGCTGCAGGAAATGCTGTCAAGCGTGCATCAGACAATCTGGTCAGGGCAGCCCAAAAAGCAGCGTTTGGAAAAGCAGAGGATGATGACGTTGTGGTCAAAACCAAGTTTGTGGGTGGCATTGCTCAGGTTGGTACAATCACTCCAGAATAAAGCAGGGAGAAACCATCCCAGACATGAGCAGTGTTACAGTGTCCACCTGTTGCATTGCAGGCTGCACAAATGTATTTAGAAATCTATAATAAATTACTTGATGCCTCATTATCATGGAGCCCCTGACCTAAGAACACAGTGAGGAGCTGTGTGGTATCTGCACTTCTCCACTGAGCATTTGCTGTAATAGCAGTTACCATTGTCCAATAGCATTTAGTTTTTTTCTGATTAAATGAATGGATCTTTTCAGAATTCTCTTATGTATTTTAATAGTTTCCAAATCTTAATGATAATTTTGCAAAGAAATAGAGTGAGATATAAAAACCAATGATGTTTTGTTACTGTGACATAATAATTATTGGGAAATGATAACAATATTTCAAAGTAGATTTTAAGGCTCTGAGGTACCAACTTCTAGATGCCTTATAATGAATGAGGTACATCGTATATTGTACTCGCTGTTTAAAAGATACTGGACTTGATTATTTCTGCATATCTGTACTACTGTCATTTGTTCTTTGGCATTCTGAGATGCAAGAAAATACTTTTTACACCTGCAGTAAATTTTATTGTCACTCAGACATTAAGACATGGTGCCTATTCTACATGTCCTAAACCCCCACCCTGCTGATTGCTGTGAGAATGCAGAGCTGTAAGATTCATCATGGATGCATGGTAAAACTATGGTGATAAATTAGTTTTCTCTTTTTTTTAGTCCTCTCTAAGAAACAAGTAGGAATACAATACTTTTCTTGATGGTCTAGTCCTGGAATCTGGAAAAATTTGAGCCATTCCTGATTAAGTCATAGAAATTTGGTGCTTCTCTTGAGAATGCTCACAAGGGCCAGCTATGACTGTAGTGTCATGGAGAAAGAAATATTATTTTACAGACAGTGTTCTGTGCTGCTTCTGTTTTCTAGATTATTGCAGCCCAGGAAGAAATGCTGAAGAAGGAGAGAGAGCTGGAAGAGGCAAGGAAAAAACTGGCTCAGATCCGCCAACAGCAATACAAATTTCTACCCACAGAGCTGAGAGAAGATGAGGGTTAACTGTTAACCTGCTGAGATTTTTCTTCCTTTTTATTCTTTTGTTTTCTTTTTTTTTTTTTTTTTTTTTTTTTTTTTTTTTTCTTTTAAAGAAATAAGCTAAAGGGGGACAGCACATTGAGAACTGCTCTGACAGCATACTGGTATGCCAAGCACTTAGCTGAATAAACTGCCTGTCATAGCTTTGGATGAGCAGAGGGCAAAAAACACTTGCTCCTTCCCATCTGCTCAGCTGAGGTGCATGATGATCAAATAATGGTACAGTGTTATGTTCATCCTTCCTGTTCCTCCCTCAATTTATATCTCAGAAGAGAATGTTTCACTATTTACTAAAGATACTAAGTCAGTATTATTGTCACTTTCCTGATGCTTGAGGTATTTATTGTTCCTTGACTAGTTCTGAAACATTGATAATATTAAGTAGGAAAAGAGTCAAGAAATCTTTCATATGATAAATATCACATGAGCTGGTGATTCTCCCCCAAGCACCCTTGTGAAAAGAAGACCAGGATGGAGAAGCACGGATGGCTGAGTGGAGAAACACACACAGTGTGGGTTTGAAGAAGCCTATCTTCTTTCAGTGTTATATAGCTGGTTCACCCCAAAACTGGAGGAATTGTCTCTGCAGCTGTTTGCACTACTAGTATTATTCCTTACCTGATACCAACAAGCTTCTTCTTGTACAATATTTAGGTTTACAAAATGTGGCAATAGCCATTCTTTAAAGAGCTCAAAAAACAAAGAAATGGAAACCTTGTCACTGCCTCAATAATAGCAGGTTCATGAAAGAAAATGCTGTTTCAATTATATACCTCTAATGTGTGACTACTTTTACAGTATTCCACACACGTACGCATGCTCTAACATTGGACTGAATAGTTTGCATTATGTTTTTTAATTGAAATTATCTGGCTCTGTACTGTGGTATTTCTGTTAGAATGTATCTCAGTTAAAAAAGGGAAATGCCCAGTACAACAAAAGACTATCAGCTCTTTATTATTTTAATAGTTACATTTATAATTATTATGTTTTGAAACCTGTGGGAATTGTAGGAGAAAAGAATAAGCGATTTACAAGTAGATTTACAATTTTTCCTGTAATATATTTTTTAAAAATTTGGACTCTAGAGAGTTTGTTTTCATAGTTGCTATTGATGAAAAAGTATTCACCAAGGAATTGCAGAGAAGGGATAGCAGCAGTCTATCAGCAATCTTTGTCTTCAGCTGCAGGAAGGTACAGTATGCTCTCAGTATTTCTGTTGTGACCTAAACAATGGCAATTTGGGTAGAGTGACATATTTTCCTGTGTCAAAGAGAACACAAATCACAGCAACTTTAAGTAGCTAAAGCTAAACTGTTTGACTAGCTACAGAAACACCATCTCTCCTAACAATATTCTCCAACATGTCTCCAACTCCACTCGAGCCCTCCTAAACAATAATGGCAAGTCTGGTTAGGTCAAAGGATGTTGCCCCTCCAGTCCTTCTGAAGGTTGTGCTGTCCTTGGATCCCACCCAGTATGTTCAGCTGAGCCTCTTGTGTTCTGTGCATACTCACCCAGTTGTCGTTGCTGCAGAAAATACTTGTCTTGTAGACTCCCCAGTAACCCCCTAGTGGTAGGTTCATCAGTTTAGATAGTGCTGACTCCTCATTTAAGTTACCTGCATGAGACAGAATTATCAGGAATTTTATCACACTAGTTCTGATTATATAGCAAAAACATTGCTAGAGAATTAATAAATATTGAAGTGTAAAAAGGTTTTTATTGTCTCTTCTCTGATCCTGACGTATTTCAGACTCTACTAGCAGAGTTGCTGGAGAATCCACAATCATGAGAGGAAAAAAACTGGTATATCCCAAATGGAATCACTGGCATTGACAGATGTGCTGTGATGTGTAGACTTGTGTGTAAATGCAAACCCTGTACTGTCAGAGATGTGCAATTCCGAGTTTTTTCATTTGCCATTTTAACACAATCAATTTGGGTTTTTGTTCAACTCACTGTGAACAGAGTCACAGTCTGGAATTCTACAACAAGAAAAAGGCTTCCTGTAAGTCTTTGGGCAGAAGGCTAAACTGGTATTTATTGCTGTTAGACCTAAATAAAGACTGCTCCAGTGATGGTGACTTTCTGCTGCTGTTGGTAGGTTCAACTCCTTTGCAGCTTATGCCTTTGTCTTGTCTTGTCTGAATAGCCTCACTTTCCAATCTCTTTTTCAGAAAGATCTGCAAGACAGATTTTTTTACTGCTCCCTTTTGAACCTACCTTTAGCTGTTATTTGATCTCATTAAAGCATGAAGAAAGATGATGCTGTCTGTAACACCATGCCACTGTTTTATTGTAGGCATAATACCAATGTCGTGTACTTTGGTCAGGATAGTATTTGCCACTTTGATATAAGCCAAAAAAACATTGTCAAATGCAACTATGTATGGAAATTATATAGCTAGAAAACTTTATCAGTATGTAGAAGGTAAGAGCATGTTCAAGTTGTGCTCCAGAGAAGAGTGTTTGGGAAGGCCATTTTAGCACAGCTATTTTGACACTTCTCTGTTTCTGATTTATGCCCCCTCTTACCTGACAGAAAGTATTTTTTCCTTAGCTGTGTGCTCCATAGAGGAACCACAGTCAGGTGAATAGCTGAGCTGGACAACTGATGTATTTTTTTACTCAGAATTTTGGGTCTTCGTTTGTGAACCATTAAGAGAATATAAGGTCATCCAAAGTCTTTCCATTTTTTTCTTGCTGTTATAATTTGCAGTATCACTGAAGTTCACATGTGAGCATCTGTGGAGTTTGGAACTAGTCCATCCATTTCTTTGGCATGGGAACTTGCAGCAGGAAGTGACAAGTTGGACTAAGGGGTAGATGCTAATTAATAAGAAGGACAGATGTTTACTTTGTTCTGTTAACTTGTGAAATGATGAATGAGCTCTGTTGTATCTCACCCTTCTTCATGTGGAATTCACTCTGAGAATTGTATGCAAATTAAAAACAAAATGCCTCCAAGTTCTTTGTGTACAAATAGTCTAATGTCATTTCACCAACTATTCAAAAAGCGAATAATCAAAAAAATGAATGTCTGAAATTTTATACGTCAGAAGTCTCAGAAGTTAGAAGAGTTTTGAAACAAAAATTGAATTCCAGACTTTTTTTTGTATGTGCCTTTCCCCTTGATTTTCTGCATGTTCCTTACTTAATTCCTCATGAAGGGAGGAGTACATAAATCTAGAAACCTCCTCAACCTAAGTATGTTCAAATCATGAGTGCATTTTTGTTTTTCATCAATCCTTATCAAACTGATAAGATATTCAGCCCAGGAGTATGGAATTTATCATCCTTAGGTATTTTGTAACCTCTTGGGGTTTGGGTTTTTTTCCCCTTTGGAAGTGGGCTTGGTTTAGGGGCAGGTAGTTTACACTGTAGAAGTTTTCTCATTAGGTAATTGCATCATGGTTAACAAAGAGTTATCTGCCCATAACTGTCAGGATTTCTGAAACCTGCTTTTTCATATTCATGTTATTTACATCAAACACACTGTGGTTGATCATGCCATTGGAGCAGCACGTTTCTGTCACACAGTTTATGATGCTAAATGCAAAAACTGTGTAGTCACGTGAGTACAACTCTATTACAAATTGCCCTCATTTACCAAGTTATAAATGAGGGCCATTTTGTCAATTAAAAGAAAAAAATAAAAATAAAAAAACAGTACCAACCCCTGTTTTTTTCTCAAATTAGTGCACTTTGTTGCAATGGAAGAACCTTCTGCTCAAGATAGCTTTGAAATTTTATGCTGGAGTTTCTAGGGGTTTGAGCACTCACTGTAATGTCTTCCCTTCCTTTAACCCCAAGAGAGGCACAGTGAAGTTTGTAGTCATGCTGCCACACCATTATGTGTAGTATTTATCTGGCCATAAAAATAAATAAGTAATATATTTTAGACCAACTTTTTTGTTGTTCTTCACCAACAATAAGCCCCTTGAAAGTTTGGGTTTTTTTGGTTTTTTTTTGCCTGCAGGTATTTGTGACTTGTGTTGCACTGGTGGTCATGCCAAGGATTTTTTGCTCTTTAAGCAAAATAAGGCTGAAGTTGCCTGTAAGAGATTAAAATTCCCAAGTGACAGAGGAGAATGTTCCATTTCAAGTTGTGCTGCACAGACAAAACTAGGAGTGCTTACTTTGATATGTCAGTACCTTTGTATCAGGTATACTTTGTGACCACTCAATATCCTTAAAGTACATGTTAACCACACAAATATCTACAAAAATCAAACACCAGTTATTCAAGGGTGTAGGATGCTTGGTGGTGTTCAGAATTTTTGGGGAGAAGGCAAGTTTTGCTTTTATATTTTTATGATTTACATTTCATTCAACTTTTTTCCAAGTCAAATATAACTCTGTGTGTAGGTACTCCGGTTTTCCATACAAAACCTGTGCCAGAAATCTTGCCATTAGCTGCATTACAAATACTTTAATGTTGTTACCAGAAGGGGCTGTTTCTGGCATAATTACATTCATGTCCAAGTGGGATCTTTTGGGCGTTCTGTGTGCTCATCAAGTGGCTCACCAGATGTGAATATTATGTCTTTGATGATGCAATAGCTTTTTCCACTCATTCTTCATGACAGAAACAACACTGAAGAAGCTCCTTTTTTACTGATGGTTAGCTGAATAATGAACTGGGGGGGGGGCATAGAGACCCAGACATATTTTAGGCTAAAATATTTTAAAATATCTGCGAGAATAGATACTGAAACTGCTAGAGAAAAGAAATCCAGCTGCCTGTTTGTGTTTTCTATGTGGCACAATTTTAATTTGTGTTCAGAGCATTCCAGGCACTACTTTAGAGGCTCTAGGAAAATTAATCCTTTTTGCTTGCACAGTATTGCCTAAAGACTTGAAAACTAAACCACAATGTTTGACATGCTTGGATCCCTTTTGACCTTGCCTTTCTTTACAAGATTGTTTGCCTTTGCCTTTCCCTTGTGAAAGTTGGATTCTTTGCTGCTGGAACATCTTTTATCAATATATGCACTTCAGTTTTCCACCTGTGCAGGTCAGTTGTGTTGAGTATGGCAGGAGGAATGCTACTGTGTGGGGTTTGCCCACATACTGCCTAATTTGGATGATGTAAAGCTTATCTTACAAACATGATTTTATTTCAATCCCGGTTATTTTCTTGAAGTATATTTATTTATTTTTAAAATGGATAGTAAGGGCTGCTGACTTTGCACCATTCTGAAATGTCCACTGTGATGGTTTATCCAGGTGAAGGAGGTTTTTTTTGGCATGGTTAAATGTAACAGGTTTTGCTAGAAAGTTAAACATCTCTTTACTTTAAAAATTGCGTGGAGCATTAAGTTTAGAAGGCCAGAATTTTTGATGATGAAAATTCACTCATGGTACTGAATCAAATTTAATGTTAATTTAACAGTCAGAGGCATTTTCAAGTAGTGGAAAAGAGGCTGCATTAGGACAGTGAAGAAATGTCACTGGCTATTTTCTAAATACCATTCTTACTCTTAAAGTGCTGAATTTAATAAAACTAATTGGAATCTTCAATGCCACAGAGATCAACGTTCAGATCTACCTAGGCTGTTACTATAACCCTTTCATTATAGAATAATTTTTTGTACTGTCTTCCATCTTCTCTGAATGTGGTTCAAAATCAGGTCTTTGTGACTGTATTTTGTAAGTGGCAGTTGACCAAGTAGAAAAGTTAATAGGGAAGCTTCTTGCAGCATTATAGTTGATGATCTTTGAATTCTAATTGCTTTGCATCTTCTAAGTTATTGATTAAAATATTTAATTGAACATAAGTCACTGAACTGTTGACCTGATTAAGTCTTGGAAAGAATGGTCAAATTCTGGGGCAGTGGATATGTTATAAATATGTTTGCACTGTAATGTACATTTTCTGTTTTGCCCATAAGTACATTACATACATTAAGGATGTGCTTCCAGATTGTAGTTTATCAGCCTTGGTTCCAAACCAGAAAAAGTATTTATGTCCCAGTTCACCAAATGCTGTAGTACATATTTATATTATTTAAAAATATGTATGTCCTTCATATTTTGTCTGCAATATAGTTGGCTCAATTTGGGATTAAGAGATTTCCAATGACAGTGTTTCAGACCTCAGAGAGACAATGCTTGGCCCATGGGCCAAGATCACCATAGTAGATTTCAAGCATTAATAAAAATAATCTACTCTTAGAAACCATTTTTTATTTGTCCTTTATAGAGCGCTGCAAATTAGTCACTCCTATTTTACAGATGGCAAAATTATGTAGCAGGAAGGGAGATAATTTGTTCAAATCCATAGAGCAGGCTGCCCTGAATGCAATAGCCAGTCCAGTTCATGTGATCTACACAGAATTTATGTAGCCATTTAGTAGTAGCCATGTTCAGGAAAGGGTTAATACTTATATTCCCATTTAGTTCATATATACATTATTTTTTGCATTAATGTTTCTGCACTCTGTCAGTTCCAGAGAAATCAAATGCATTCTTTATTGGTAACTGTATAGCAGAGGGACTCAAACAGTGATTGTGATTAGAGCCAAGAACAACCATCTTTCACTGCCAAGGTTTTAGACAAACATCCTGTCTTCCAGAGTTCAATTTAATCTGCAAGAATCTTTGCTCAGTTCCTTGACTTTGCCTTATGTTGTAACCACTTCTGTTAAGGCACCAGCCTCAGTTCTCTTCTATTTAGGATTTGCTGCACTCTTTTTCTCTAACTTTTTTCTAAAATAGAAGTGACAGCTTTAATAATTTGGACAAAAGCTCTGCAGCTTATTGAAATCAGCCTCCTGCTTTCCCAAAGCTTGCTGGAATATACGAGGAGAATCCTGAGGCACTGAAGCCTTTAGTGTGACACTTTTAGCCACAGAACCTGTTTTGAAGTTTACTCAGAGATGCCTTTAGTCAGCTGCAGTGATTCTGGTCTGTCTGCAATTACTTACTCTTTGCCTTCAGCTATATAAGCATGAGTGTTTTCTCTCTCCTAAATATTCATCTTTTGTTTGCATTTTTAATGGTAAATTAGTTGAAATGACACTGTATTTCTAAAAGGCTAGCACAGTTTCTTGAGATCCAGTCTGGCAATTATGTTTTAAGACATCATTTTTTTTAACACTGAACTTTTGCTTTATGAAGTCAGTAGTGATGTTAGCTAAATGTTTGTGTGTGAGTGTAACTTTGAGAATGTTTCTTTTTGCCTTAGAAAAATGAAAATGAGTGAGAGCTTTATTGACATATTGCTGATCTCATATCTATTGTTGATTTTTTTCTGATCTGGGACTTTGTGTTGCTGAGATTTCACATGTGAAAACTGTGGGCAAAAAAATAAGAGTTCAAAAAGATGACCTCAGAAAAAGAACTTCATCGGTCATTCCATTGTGTTTGGCTTGCATTCCAGTTGCCATACTCTATCATTTAGTGGTGATAATAAGGCTATTTAGGGTAATTCCCAAGCTAAACCACTGCTGTGACATGCCCATGATGCTTCCAGATGCTGTAGCTCAGCAATTCAAGCCACAGAGAAAATTTTCTAGCTAGCTTCTTGATTGTTCAGGAGTCATCTCGGATCTCTTCCAAATCACAGCAGTGGCTCCTTACTACATGACCAGATCCCTCATATTTTGATTTGTCCAAGGTTTTTTTATTTGAAAACAGGCTAGATGCAAAACTTTATCTTCAAAGGATGTCCTACTTCTCTCCTGGAACTGGAAAAACTGAATATGGTGAGTATTTTGTAGACTAAGTGTTTTGCAAAATAAAACAGGCTGCTATTTGTTCCCATCTCAGCAACCAGAGCCTATTCAGATCTTCTTTCCCATCTTAAGGACAACACCCATTAAAAGAGAACCTTCCAATTAGTCATTTTTTAAAAGTATTTGCTTGCAGCAGAGTTCAGACTGCTTGATCCCTGTGTAGATTCACAATGAGTAGATTCATTATGTCAGTTGATGAAGACAGCAGGTACTCCCCTTTATTTTGCTCTT